ACATTCGCCAAATTACAGGATAATTCTAGAAAGTAGAGAGCGTGAGAATCACATGATCTCGATGACGCAACAATAACAACAGATTCATTAGAGCTGTTAACGTAAGATCAAATGAAGTAATGTGCGTAGTATCTGTTAAGATCACAGAGGGTAATTTATTTTGTATCTGAGTGTCGCACTCTGTGAGATTACATTTATATTTTATCTTTCATTTACCTAATTTTCAGCTAATGCAGAATATATAACTATATTCCTAAATTTTAATCAACCTTTATTGACTGGAAATTATTAAATCAGGTGTAGTGCCTGAATATCAGTGTGCCATCAAACGGGAATCGAAGAAAGTACAAAAAGATAAGCCTAACAGCACTACCAGAGACAGCGCCTGTGAAAAGGATGAAAGACTTGGCCGAGTTAAACCCTTAGAACCTTCTCAGGAAGAAGTAATCAATAAGCTAGTCTTATTCCAAGAAGAATTCGAATCCCCATCTGAAGACGATTTAAAAAAGATTTCTGTAAGTAATTATAGAAGTTAAACAGGTGACCAGAAATAAAAAAAAACTTTTGCCAGAATAGCAAATGAGATATATGATGAACTATTGAAATCTATTGTTTAATAGCCGGTAATGAACATACCTAATAAATATATATATGAATAAATGATACAAATTTTATATAAATTATATAAAACAGCGATACTTTATGATACAAATATAATCTATATTTACTAAATTAAAGTGATAGATGCACTGGACTTGATTCTATAATACTACACTCAATTCATATAATCATGGTTTACAACACTTTGTAAAGATTTTGTATGTTTAACTTCCCTTTGTCAAAATGAATATAACACAATTTTTTTTTCGCCTCCCCACGATAGACTTTTCCCACAGGTGATAGTGACGAAGACAACCTTCGAAGGTTCCAACATATTACAGAAATTACAATCCTCACAGTACAGCTCATTGTGGAGTTCTCCAAAAGAGTTCCTTGGTTTGATTCTTTGTTGCGTGAAGATCAGATCACCCTTTTAAAGGTACGAATGGTAAATAATAAACACAAAGGTTCTGTTGCGTTTAAATAGGAATTCTTTAGTAGAATAGAAGTATATTTTTGTAGTCAGTAATTAAATTAAGTCGAGAATGACTAGGAGAAAAAAAGGTTAGAATATGATTAATTGTTGCAATAAAAGAAGAAGGATTACTAATTTTATAAGTTGTATTACATTTTACTCTATATTTGTTCATTTTTTAAGTACTTTGATCCAAGTTAATACCCGAAAACTTTAAATTTATAAGCTTTATTATATCGGTAGACATTCTGTTTTTTAAGAAAAGTATTCCTGACAAAATTAGCGAGAGTATATATAGTGTAACATTGATTTGTTAGGAAGAAAATGTATAAAGTCATTCCTCATTCATTACCCAAAACTCTTTGCTAACAAAAAAACTTCAAGTTACATTCTTTAAACGAACTATTGGATTTCCTAACCAAAATTTTAAAACAAATGTTTTCTCTTTCATTATAGGCATGCTCTAGTGAGGTAATGATGCTAAGAACAGCACGCAAGTACGATGGCAAGACGGACTCTATTGTATTTGCTAATAACCAGCCATATACACGAGAAAACTACAGGAGTGCTAGCGTAGGAGACTCTGCTGATGCCCTTTTCAGTTTCTGTCGAAAGATGTGTCTCTTGAAAGTCACCAACGCAGAGTATGCTCTTCTTACAGCTATTGTAATCTTCTCGGGTAAGAATTCTGACCAATCATCGCTAATAAAAGGTCATGCGTTTTGCTTAATTATTCATTAATAACACTGTATTACACAACTTCTGGTACAAATAGTTTATTTTGTTTTGCAAAAACACTTTGGATTAACTGGAAAAAACAATAAATTGGTGGCAGTGGTGTCAAATTAAAATAACAGTAAGTATATAATGCAACTTCTTTACGACAAGCATAAGTGGGCTTTGTTAATATTAAAAAAAACTAACAGTGAAATTCACAAACACAAGGGGGGGGGGGAATGATCCATACAGTTCCTCTAGAGAAGTACGTTGTCACAAAACAATTTCTTTAAACTGTGATTTCAAAATAGGACACACTAATATAACCATCTTTATGTCCAGCACGTGTAACTTTAGCAGTGATTAATTTAATAAAGCACCAAAACAAATTCGCTCATTTTGTAACTGACCCTCAAAATACCAGTGAGGGTCCACATTTGCATCATATTGAGTAACTTTATATTTTTTCCTGTCACAACATTCAGTGTAAAGAACCGAGTAAAAAAATTTGGTGAAATCACTAGTTTTCTACAAGAAAATACCAGCAGTGTATTAATTGCTATATTAATTGGTTAAACTTCATTTGTGACTCCTGTGTTATCACCTGGATTTGCAAGCAATTTGATGTATAAATAGATTAGAAAGATGTTTAAATACCTGTTCCCATAGCTAATCCTAAAATCTTAAGTATAACCAGTTTTGAACGATAGGCTACTGAACTCTTTTGGTTTCTTACAATTGTGTTTGATGGTTGAAAATAATCTCACTATAAAATAATATTTTTTATTTTTATTTGATTTTTCCTATTGCTGTTACTCCTTCACAGAACGTCCTTACTTAGTCGAGCCCCAGAAGGTAGAGAAGATCCAGGAATTTTACATTGATGCTCTTAGGGCATATGTGGATAATTACCGTCCTCCTGGGAAAAACTACTTTGCCAAGCTCTTGTCTGTTCTCACTGAACTCCGAACTTTGGGTAACATGAATTCTGAAATGTGCTTTTCACTCAAGGTTCAAAATAAGAAGTTACCTCCATTCTTGGCCGAAATCTGGGATGTCATGGAATAATCAGCTTTATCTTTCAAACCACTAAAATCATTCCTTGTATATTAAAAACGTTTTTTTTTCTTTAACATTGTTTATTTCTGTTTCATTTTTACAGTGTAAGCAGTTTCCTTTGTTTGACATTTACTAAATTTTGGTCATGTACGTTACAAACCAGCTGGCTAGCTTCCAGTATTGGTGCTTCAGTTTTCTTTTCCAGTAACATCACTGAACTATTCTCAGATGGTGGCGATAATGAGATATGCAAGAGAAAAGGTGCAAACATCAGATACAGGCTCATCAATAGAACCTACTGTATGTTGTTTCAAAGGTTGTGATTTTTGTCTTTTGACAAACCTCAAAGTTCTAAACCTATTCCTGCTGGTCCTTTCCAAAAGAACCACAGTGTGAAGGCAACGCACAAGACAAGAAGGTAAACTCTCACCAACACTTAATGGAGTGGGGGGACTGTTATATATATATTGCAGGACATTTGAGCCACTTAATGGAGTGGGGGGACTGTTATATATATTGCAGGACATTTGAGCTACCATGATTTGTTACCGGTGACCTAGAAAAAAAAAAAGTGACACGTGATGGATAATAAACAGTAGAGTGCCAGTATTATTATTAGTTTTTGCATACTGACTCTCTTTTAAACTGATGATGTTTATTCAAAGGGTTACCATTATCATCATCAATATAATAATCACCATCAACCCCTGGGCAACATCGAATTACTGACACTCAACTCTTAGTGGTTTGATCCAGGATGAGACGTCCAATCAAAAAATAAAGAAAAAAAAAACTTTTCAAGTATGATTAATGATCTTAAACCATGTTGTGATCGTGTTTGTTTTTATAACTTGCTGCAGCCTTATGAATAAGACCAGTTATTCTATATAGTAAACAAACACGGACCACCACTCAATAAGAAAATATACTTTGTTCAAACAGGTCCTGAGAACTGTTGTTTTAATTTTACAACTGAAGGGATATAAAAATAACAAGCTATATATATATATATCAAACTTAATGGTTTATAGCAGTGACTAAGCTACTGAGTGAAAAAGTATTAGTTTCTGTAATTTGGTTGGCTTGCTTTTTAATGTGATAAAGTATTACGTGTTTCTGGTTATATCATTTATATTTGTTTTAAAGCTTTCTCATTGCAAATATTTCTGTGAAGTTTTTGTTCTAAATTGAAACTCACAACTTACAGAAACCTTCACTAGTGACTTTGTATCATCATTTATCACCATATTCCAAGAGTCGAGTATTTTTACAGCATTAGCATGTTCGTTCCAACACTAAGAAGTATGATTATGTACCCATAAATTATTATTATTTGTTTTTCTAAAGATTTCTCAAACTCTTAAGGTATAACAGCTTATATGTAGATACCTGATTCAGGTTAAAATACAGATAAAAAATCTGTTGAATAGCTTTCGTTACTCAGTCTTTAAAAAAAAAACCCAGTGAAGTTAACGTGCGACATAAAGTTTAAAACCTGTAGTATGATAAAATTACACACGCTGAACAGTAATTTAAAAGACTTTTCATAAAAACGTATTTGGTTTGAATTAAATTAACCTTGTAACTGATTTGTTGCTTCTAGAATTGACGCTGGTCTATTGAATGAAAAGTTCGAGTTTTTATATGATACATGGGTAGTAAGTTATATTTAACCAAGGTATTATTCTTTAAAAGTAATGAATACGCGCGTGCCATCTGGACCTTGCGTTACTTATGACCCCCATGGCAGTAGATGCATTTTGTATCAAGAGCAATCAACATGATACATGTTAAAGAGAAATATTATTGTATACATAAAAGAATGTATTTATTGTTTGACTTGAAGAGATTTCATTGTGATAAAATGCAAAAAACAAACGAATATGGGTACAAAAAAAAAGTACTTTTGATAAGTGTTTGTATGCATGTTTTTCACTGTTTGTGGGTGAAGGATATGATTAATGTTGTCAAATTATTGTTATTTCCTATTAGTAAAAAAAACATTCAAAGCTTAAGAAATAATAAAAAAAAATACTTGGAAGGTACGTGAGGTCCCTCCTCTTTCTATCCTTATTGTAGTATCGACACTTTACGGTTAGGTACTTAAAGACTGAGGAAATGTTAGTGATGTTGGTTATTTACAAATAGACAATTTACCTGAGATTTATTTGTTATAGTGTTAGTTTATGGAGATGAATTAGGATACTTTTTAAACAGCTGTAGGTCTCTTCTGACCTTCGTGTGGTAGTCATACGAGTTGTTGAAAATCTGTGGTGTTAAACAAATGTCTGCTTAAACAGTGCCTTGGTATTACATATGAAATATTGCAGGGTTTGGTATACACGTGTGTGCTTAAATATACTAATTAGATAAATACGAACCTGATGCAAAACTGCAACAGAAATTTCATTAAATGCTAAAAGAGGTACAAATGTAAACTTAACATGTAAATAAACAATTGGCTATTTTTAGATTCGTCCAATATATTCCAAAGTATATTTTGTTCCTCAAAAAATATTTCAAACATTCTCTGACAACTAATGTTGTTCGCAAGTATCCGATACAGGTTTCATACACCCAAATTTTATCTAAAGTATTCTTTGTTAAAGAACTAGGATGAGGAGGGAAAGGCACTTAGGGCTTACGGGTGTCAATTACAAAAGGTTTGTTTTATATATATATATATCCTGCATTGTAAAATATCATCAACCGTTAACGACTGAATTTACTTTTTAAATGAAAATGTTACGCATATTGAAATATTTCTTAAAAGTATTTAGCACCCCATACCTTACCCAAGTTTTCGTGAATTGTTGTAGTTTATAGACAGTTGGAGGGAGAGAAAATGTTGTTCATATACAGTTACTGGTAGTCAGTTCACCCAAGATCAGTAGTTGAAAACAGTACTGTGTGAAGAGATGACTTTTAAAAAAATAACGTAATCGTATCACTAATATGGATTCCCCTACAGTTTTCTTACAAGAAATGGATTGAGTAAATATGTTTGGATGTACAGAAATTGTGTCATTGTGATGTTCTATATTTTTCAAATTAAAATTGGCCAGATTTACAAATATGCGTGTCTCAGTGTCTTTTTCTTGTAATTTTTAATAAAAACATTAAGCTAGTTTTAGCCCAGAGAAGCTTTTTAAAAGCACCTTGTTTTTTTTAAATAATTCGACTAGACTGATGAACACTAAACTCTCATTCAAGCTCTTAAACAGACTTTATGTCTATAGATCCAGCTTTTGTACCTTTGATTTTTTAAAAATTACCTAACTAATGTTTTTATGTGTATCGTTTCTTTTATAGATTTTTTTTTAAATTTCAGTACTTTATGTTCTAGTATTCTCTTAAGGATTCTCAAAACATTAGTTGTGAGGTTATAACATAATTTCATGAATTTTAACTAGAACTTGAAATATTAACAGTTTGACATTCATACACTTTCCGTATTGCTTCTTTTCCTGTTTATAAGTATTTATTCTAGCATGTTCTAAAACTAGGATTTTTACTATCTCTACTTACGATGAAATACAATATCTTACCACTATACTATCTAACTAGAACTCTTATTATCTCAAATAATTTCTCAGTCCACTGCTTATCTTTGCAAAAGATATAGTAACTTACCTTTATTAAGTCCTGTTTAAAAATATATTCTTAAACATTTGAAAGCATTAAATGTATTGGACTTATTCGAATGGCCGTACACGGTCCTATATAACCATACTAGTTAAAGGGTTAATGCTGAAGACCAGCTACAACTTGGTACAATAATGAACACCGTGATTAATTCTATAATTACAAGCGTACTTCACAACCATCCAGTAAGTTTCACGGCAACATCCCACTGTAACTAATATTTTTCTTTACGAATAATTGCAGATATATTCAATCCTACATTTTTTTTTTATTATTATCCACCAGATTGTATCTACAAACACACCAGTTGTTCCTCAGACAAATAATTCAAAAAAACATTTCTGTATCTTAATAATCAAAGTAAAATTCTCACTGGTTCAACATTAAAAAACCTTGTTTTTGTTTTGATTTTTTCCAAAACCTAAATTTAATATATTTTAACTAAAACATCCCATAGTCAATTTTAATACTGCTACTAGTTGTCACTCAGATGTCATCTTTCAAATGTAATTAGAATGCTCATTTTTATTCTAACGCACGACAGCATGATTTCTACAGCCTTCATTCTCCAACAACTTGGACTACACAACTTCCAATTACCTGGTATTGACTACTTCTCTTTAATAGGCAACTATCTCAATGATACAACAACCAGGTTCCAGAGTATTAGTCTATAAAATATTATTTAATGTAATCTCAACTTTCTACTGATATCGCTTTCAAAGACAACTCTTTGACTACCTCGTTCTTAAAACTTTGACCTACTCTTACCACTCAGTTTACTGCGCTAGTAACTTGGAAAATTATTTAAGACAGAAGAAAAACTGTACAAATGCACTGCGTATCACTTTGTTTAACATTTATTGTCAGAAAATTCTAGAACAATTCGAATAAATACACTGATGATCCAGTGACCTAGACTTACTGGTTATATAACGGCTGTAGTTTTGTTATACTGCTCATCCTGGAAAGCAATTATGAACTACCAAAAAGAAAACACACACCAAGTTGTTATTTTTTACCACTAGGTGGAAGTAACATCAAGATTACATGCTATTTAAGGTATTGAAACTTTCTGACTATCCCGGTAGTTAAGAAACATCTTGAAGAGGATGCCCTTGTCTCCCATATCTTTGTTAAATCCTTTAGCGTATTTGTTTCCTGGGGCCTAGAAGAAAAATTATATGACAGTCACTATATAACAAACAAGATTTTTAAACTAGAAAGCTAGTATTAATTAATTTATTCTTTATAATGTTGAAAATGCAATAAACAGTGAAATACAGGATTTTGTAAAAACTTAACAAAAAAAAAAACAGTAATGAATCTTTAACATATTAATGTATCAATACATTTTTTTTGGGGGGGTTTAGATCCATAAGATATGCTTTCCAGTATCTTAACTGACTTTCTTTCCCACACTATCATACTTAGTAACTTAAACTTTATAACAGTTTGCAATATGTTTTTAAGACAGTACTATATATAAATATATACGCGCACACGTATGTGACATAAGAGATGCTTGATTAAATGAAAGTATTAATATGAGTGTAAATCAAGTTCAGAGGAAACAACATTTATTTCAAACAACCCTAAACTTACGTTTTCCATAACATCAATATACTTCTTATAGTCCTCAGCTGAAATCAGAAGTTCTGGCACGTTCAAGTTAGGAATACCGAACAGAGACATTAACTTGATTAAATGAAAGTATTAATATGAGTGTAAATCAAGTTCAGAGGAAACAACATTTATTTCAAACAACCCTAAACTTACATTTTCCATAACATCAATATACTTCTTATAGTCCTCGGCTGAAATCAGAAGTTCTGGCACGTTCAAGTTAGGAATACCGAACAGAGACATTAACTTGTATTTCATATTGCTAAAGCTGAAATAAAGAATCATAGCTGTAATGATAAAATTGGAATACTAATCTAATATAGAATGTTATTTCTTAACTGCACATATGGTAGCAAAATTAAACTAGTGAAACTGATGTAGTCATTTGAGTACGGTTTTTAAATTTGTTAAGTGTCATCTTAGTAATGAAACAGTGTGATATTAATGGATAAATAAACAACTTTGCCATCCAGACTTTCTGATCTGAACACACAAAATCTTCAACCGATCTGGCCAGAGAAATGAAGATTTACAAAACTGTAGTTCTTAAGATTTTATAGCCTAGCGATCAACACTGGCCAGAGAACTGAAGATTCACAAAACTGTAGTTCTAGGTTTTAAAACCTAGTGATCAACATTGAAGATTTACACAACTGTCATTCTTGAGATTTTACAGCCTAGTGATCAACACTGGCCAGAGAATTGAGGATTCACAAAACTGTAGTTCTAAGATTTTACAGCCTAGTGATCAACATTGGCCAGAGAACTGAGGATTCACAAAACTGTAGTTCTAAGGTTTTACAACCTAGTGATCAACA